AACAAATGGATTCTAAAGTTTATATAGAAAGGCCAAGACCTAGAATAGTGACACAATACTGAAGAACAAAGGTGGAGGACTCACACTGACTCATCTCAAGACTGTTTTAATATGGTTAAAATAATGAGATGATCAAAGTATAATTTCATGAATTACATGGTTTATTGCCATACAAAGAGATTCTCTTTTTTATTTACAATGCTCAAAGGGGGAGAATAACAAGAACAAATGTCACAGGAAATATACTCAGTAGATGAGGTACATTAACATAATGAGTGAGTTCCAATTTGACTTAGAGTCTAATTATTTAAGTCTAGTTATTCAGTTAGTATGGAAGCAGGCCTCTGTGGATATAAAGTCTCATTGAAGTTTGAAGAGTACCTTTGTATGGGAGAGAGGTTCTTGGGAGAGATGGTTTGATCAACACAGCAGAGATCCATGACAACATGCAGGGTCCCTCAACACTAGCAAGCAGTGCCAATGAGGCTCAAGAGAATAGTTCAAAGGCTGACAGAGTAGCCCTGTCAAAGTCTAAGCTCTCAATCTGTCTGTCAAAATCTTGGGTTTAAATGTGTTTTGGAATCAAGTAGTTTAGGCTGGTAACTCACATGAGTGGTCTGATAAGGGGGGATGTAACATTCTGGCTGGGAGGAGAATTACGCTTCCTGTCCTTATGTAGTAAATAAAGTATTTAAATGTTTAAATCATTTCAGAACTACATAACAAAGACTTACTATAAAGCTACAGCAATCAAGACAGCATGCTATTTTTGAAAGAATAAATACATATCAATGTAATGGAATAGAAGTCCCAGAAATAGACCCATACAAATATAATCAGGTGATCTTTGACAAAGGAACAAAAGCAATTCAATAGAGAAAGGATATTCTTTTCAACAATGGTACTGGAACAATTGGATGTCTATATTAAAAAAATGAACATAAACATAGACCTTATACCTTTCATTAAATTAACTCAAAATCAATCATAGAACTAAATGTAAAACACAAAACTATTAAACTTACAGAAGAAAACTTACGAGAAAATCTAGGCAATGTTGAGCTTGTCAATGAGTTTTTAGGTAAAAGACCAAAAGTATGATCCACGAAAAAGAAAATTGATAGGTTGGACATCATTAAAATTAAAAATGTCTGCCCTATGAAAGACAC